TACAAGCACCGCCGCGCTTACCTAAAGATTGCGCCTGTAACAATAAGGGGGCCGCTAAGCTGCGTCGAAACATACGCATTATTGGATGAAGGAAGCACGGTCACCTTAGTCGATGCCTCAATCGCCGACGTCATCGGCGCCGACGGCCCAGCCCACACAATGTGGATACAAGGGGTCGGCTCGGAGGTGAAACACGAGAAGAGCAAGATCGTCAGCTTTAAAATAAGAGGAACGTACGCGCAAGAAGAACACAACATAGAAGCAGCGCGTACTGTAGAGCGGTTGGACTTCGCGCCAGAATCCGTGAATGAAGATCACTTGGGGAATTGCCCACATCTGTTGGATATCAAAGAGGATATCACCTACGAACGCGCCTCACCGAAAGTACTAATCGGGCAAGATAACTGGCACCTCATAGTGTCTAGAAAACTGCGCGTCGGCCGTCGAGACCAACCAGTCGCCTCATACACCAACCTGGGCTGGGTTCTGCATGGCTGTCATAGCTCATTGACGTCGACGGTCACCTTCTGCGGCAGACTACATCAGAGGGAAGATGCACCACCGATAGAAGAAGAAATAAAAAATTATTTCAAATTGGAGTCGCTGTGCATCGAGCCGAGAAGACCGAAAGAAGATCCCGAGCAGCGAGCCATGCAAATATTGGACGAAACCAGCCAGAGGTCAGCGGACGGCAGATTCGAGACAGGGTTGTTGTGGAAACAAAAGGACTTCCAAATACCAAATAATTATAAAGAAGCGGATAAGCGCCTGCACACCTTAGAGAAGAGGCTCGACCGAGACAGCAATCTCAAGCTACAGTACGAAGAACGCATCGAGAACCTCTTCAACTCGGGTTACGCAGAGCGCGCGCCAATGCCACCGCCGCAAGGAAGGACATGGTATCTGCCATACTTCCCAGTCATCAACCCTGCGAAACCGAACAAGCCGCCGAGATTGGTACACGACGCCGCAGCGAAGACAGCCGGAATATGTCTCAACGATATGCTTCACTCGGGGCCCGACTTATTACAATCACTGCCCGGAGTGATCATGAGGTTCCGACAGTATCCGTATGCAGTGAGCGCCGATATAAAAGAAATGTTCATGCAGATTAAAGTGCGCAAAGAAGATAGAGACGTTTTACGTTTCCTGTGGGTGCAAGCCAGTCAGCGGGAAAGCTTCACGAAGGAGCTCAAGAGAATCACCAGCGGAAGTGTTCCGGGAGGCGACGACAAACTAGGCCACCTGAGCACATACATTGATGAAGAGGGGACCCTACGCCTCAGAGGTCGAATAAAAGCGGCATCAGAAGTGGAGGACGACATGTACGACCCTCCCATATTAGACGGGAAGCACGCATACACTCGCCTGTACATAGCACACGTACACGAGAGGCTGCATCACGGAGGCGTGGAAACAGTTGTGAATGAATTAAGACAGAGATTGTACGTAAGAAAAATACATCCAGTAGTGAAAACTGTCGTCAAAGGATGCCTGCCGTGCCGTCTAAGAAAAGCCAAGCCTGCATCACCGTCTACAGGAAACCTGCCGTCCGCACGCCTCGCTCATCACGCACGTCCGTTCACATACACCGGACTAGACTACTTCGGGCCAATAGAAGTCACAGTGGGACGACATCGCGAAAAGCGCTATGGCGCGTTATTTACCTGCATGACGTCGCGAGCAATACACATAGAAGTAGCCCACTCGTTGAGCGCAGACTCAGCCGTGTCGGCACTTAGGCGTTTTATGAGCAGAAGAGGATGCCCAAAAGAAATATGGAGTGACAACGCTACGTGCTTCAAGGCAGCAGACAAGGAGATGGCCGAAGCAGCACTTGCAGCCCTCGAGCACGAAACCACGTGTCAACAGATTGTGTGGAAGTACATACCGCCATCAGCACCGTTCATGGGCGGCGTATGGGAGCGAATGGTTCGCTCCGTAAAAGAAGCCCTACGCGTCACCCTCAACGAGCGCTATCCCAGCGACGAAACATTGGGGACCCTGCTCGCCGAGGTCGAAAATACTGTAAACTCCAGACCTCTCACACACGTCTCAGTCGACCCAGGAGACCCTGAAGCCATCACGCCGAATCACATCCTCATCGGTCCCAACTCGCACGTACCTGCGCCGGGACACTTCAGCAAGAATGACGTGACGGCCCGCCAGCAATGGAAACGAGCTCAAGCCCTAGCCGACGTGTTTTGGAGAAGATGGGTTAAAGAATACCTGCCCCTACTCCAACACCGGCGGGAGCCCAGCAGCATAGGAGTATCGCCGAAGATTGGAGACCTAGTCATCATTTGTGACTCCAATCTACCACGCAACACCTGGCCCAGAGGGAAAATAAGTAAGGTATATCCTGGCGTCGACGGAGAGGTACGAGTAGTGGACGTAACCACCGGCAGTGGGCACATACTAAGAAGACCAACGAAGAAGATCGTCGTGCTACCAGAGGGATCGCAGCGTGGCGACGGCGGGAGAATGTGCACGACGCAACAATATTAAACAAACGAAAGAAAATGCTTATTGTAACCGGCGCTAGTTGAACAACCTAGGAGCGGTGGGCGGAGCCATGACGACGGTGTAATTATCAGGCCACGCCTCTGGTTCGACAACTAGCAAGGGTTATACGGCGGAACTAGCGCAACCTTATGTTGAATTTAAATTATAATTTGTGTAAATAATTGTATTACTTGTATCGAACGATAAAAAATAATGATTGTATTATAACTAAGTTTAAGGTTGAGTTGTAACTGTGCAATAACTCTCCCAAATAAAGGCACCGTATGAACAGGGAGAGTTAGCATAGTCTTCTAATGAAAACTGTAATTGTTAAATATAATAAATGTTTACTTTATTATATAATAAATATATTAGGCCGTTAGGCACATAAAATAATAGTAGTAGTGTAACCAAAGAGCATGTTATCGTGACGCGGCCGCGGAGCAAATGAAGCCACGCGCACCGCGCCACGACGTTTTATATTTATAGTGCTGAGGCGGGGGGAAGGATTCTCCGCCTAAAGCAGCTGAAAATTATAATGTAAACCTGTAAATAAGTAAAAATATTGATATGTACACCCTAGTCTAACAAGTAGTTATAAGAATATTATATAGTGAATTATGTTTATTAGTTTGTAAGGTTATTAAATAAATAAAGATAGGCGCGGGGGTGAGGCAAGGGTCCGCTGGCCAGCAGCGGCCAAATCATATAAAAGACGGGCCGGCCGCTAGGGTCAGCAGTCGCTCTCCAGCCACCGAAAAGGCACCAGCAAGAAAAGAAAAAGTACAAGTTCCTCCTCACCGCCGCTTGCCTCCAGTTAAAAGCAAGACCAGCGCGTTTTATTCCATTTTTCGCACGGCATTACGGCGATCCGTAATAGATCATATAGGCAGATTCTACTGTTTACAAGAAAATGTCGATGTGTGTGTGTACGTGTGTGTATGTGTGTATATTCATACATGTATTTGCTTAACTATCTTGAGAACAAATACATGTATCGATACCAAACGAAAACACTTATTCGACGTGCATTATAATCACTTGATTATGATTTAAATTCATTAAATTCTAGTAGTAGTAATATTTAGTTTCTAGTTTGTAAGCATCGATCACTAGTGGTCGATGTTACACATATTGTAAACTTAATTACCTATTTAGACATTTTGGTTTATTTTGCAATTGTTACCATCTTCTTCTTTATTAGGCCGTATAAGTCCACTGCTAGACAAGAACCTCTTCTGTTACAATGAGATTCAATTAAATATCAGTAAAACATCACTCAGTAATGTCTTAATATCCTAAGTATTTTATAAAATGCTGACCATTCTATAATTTCACAAGCTATCATTACCACGATACTTACATAAAATGTTTTAACACATTAAATAAACAAAAAAGTTAGATAATGTTACATCAGAAAAATTCAATTCAAAGTATTTTTTATTTGCAGCTGGTTATTAATTTAGTGACAAATAAATGAAACTAATTTTTACGGATTTTTAGCGTTTAATTTAACTTTTTAATTTCCGAAGTTTCTGTAACAATTAGTTTCATTTAATGTGTAGTCATCGCGTAAATATAAGAAATCATTAAGTATATTAATGCAAAAGAAAATAGAATCACAACCTTTAAACATTTTTTTAACTGGCTTTACGGCTCTGGGTTCTAGCCCTTCTGAGCCTAACCTTTAAACACTTCACAGTTCGTCACAGGTCTCTTCGCATTTCGAACGACGTTTATTTTTCGATTATTACAGTCCTCCGCAAGTCTATTGCTGAGCTCAATGCATCCATCGATTTCCTGCATGTCCTACCAGGTCGTCAATCTATCTAGTGCAGTGATTTCAAATCAGTGGTACCCGCGAACCACCAGTGGTCCCGCAAGAGCTAAATATGGTCCGCGAAAGATTTAATTATTTTACCTATCTATTCGTTTTAAATAACAGATTTATTATTTTCACGTCAAGCGTTTCATTGCCACTTTGGACGGATCTGTTGAGCTATGTCATATTATACATTATGATTAACGATTTTAGTAATCTCAACTAGGGTCAAAATCAAAATCAAAATTTGAGTATCGAAAAGAAACTATAAATTGATATTTTTCATATCGGATTAATCTATAAAAAACTTTCGATATAAAAATTACTTCGATTTAGACATTACTGGGCGTATAGGTTCAATAATTAACTGCTTCCGCGCTAACAAGGGTTAAAAATAAAATGAAAATTTAAAGAATTAAAAAAAAACTTCTTTCGTATACTGAATTATGTTATTAGTAAAATTTGATAAAAAATACACGCATTTTTACAGAATAATGGTAACAAACGAGTACGTGGACTATGTAAAAGGATGCTCATAGAAACCTATCTATTACTGATTAAGAAACAAAATGCAGATGCGTTATCATCCCTGACGACGAAGATGGAATGCCTATAGTTATCAGTAAAGATCATTAAGGCTCTAAAGTAAATAAGAAACATTTAAATAACTCACCTTTCTTCAGCGTAGGTATATCCGAGCCGCAGCTAATAGTCTGTGGACCCGGACTAAGGCTGTGCAATTGATAGGGTGGAGTCCTAGTGTCGATCTGCGTTGGCCAAGGCGCCCTCGGCCATGCGGGCGCCGATCCAGGAGCCCCAAGCAATCGTAGACGCTCGTATACAGGAGTGGAGCAATCTGAGTTAGTCTGTTGGTTACTAGACTTCTCCTTTTGCGCCGCCAGGTTGCGAAGAACTCGGTTAATCGAAGACACCTGATAACAATATAGGTAGGTTTTTAAGACAAAGTGAAAGATTTAAGTAAAGAGGTTTGGTCAAAGCGTTCAAAGGTAAGATAATCTGTCAGCCCTGCTCATTCCGTGAGTATCGTTAGGAGCTCTTAGGGAAGAGAAAGGAAGATCTTGTGATTTTCGATAGATGATACAATCATGAAGTATCCACCATATAATTAATAGAATCAGGCGTTACTTTGCGGAAATCCATTATAATGGGGTTGTTATAAACTAATTTGCTTAATTCCGCGTAAAGAAAGAAAATGATGTGTGTCGTGCCTAGTGTGGTGGTGTTGGGGGTGGTAGTGCTGGGACTGACGACGACGGGTATAGTGCGCTCGATTTAGGGAGGGTGGGAGGTCCCCTTAAAACTGGGCAGGATACATCATTTTATTTCATTACACGGAATTAAAAAAATTAGTTTATAAAAACCTCATTATCCACCATATGTTAATTATCCGGTCTGATGGTGGGAAGCATCGTCAAAACGTTGAAACGTGTGTCACCGCGATCGACAATTCGTCTACCAAAGATAGTGGTTACGGTAGATTCTCCCTCTTATGACTGTTTAAAATATGTTTTTCTATACATATGAATAACATTAAAGTGTTTATCTGTAATATAAAAATAAATTCCTTCAAAATCAGGCACTAAGGATAATAGGAGGATTTATTAAAACCACTCCAATTCATGTTATGGAGACTGAGCTTGGTGTAGTTCCACTGTACTTATGGAGAAAGTATATACCATACAAATTATGTCTGAAGTTAAAGTCTGCAGAAAATAATATAACTACTCAGCTATTAGAAGAACTCTACACTCTTCGACAAAATTATTATTGGAGAAACAAAATCATTCCTTTACTGGTATCCTCATATAATAAAGTTAAAGAAATTCAGATAGCAACATCATGTCCTTTATTAATGTTTACTTTGCGAACATGGGTGACCAATATTAACTTAAATGAAGTAATTGTACCCAAGCTAGAAACAATTCACTATCCAAAAAGTTCATACGATAGTAACCTATTAAAGTATGAAGTTATCAAAGAGTTGTATACAAGATCTAATGGCTGGAGTTTTATATTTACGGATGGGTCGAAGAGTGTAGAGGGATATGGGTCTGCGTTTTGTGTGCCTAATATAGATATAATACTAAATCAAAATAATCATTGTTTTAAAATAAGTACTCATACTAGTATTATGGCTTTGGAACTTATTACAATCTCAGAAGCTTTGACATATGTTATCAGTAGCCAATATAAAAATGTCGTTATATGCACAGACAGCAAGAGCTCGTTGCAACACATAGCTCGATGCGCCTCATCCAAGATAGATGAAATAACTTCAAAAGGCGTCCAACTGAGATTGCAATGGGTCCCATCGCATATTGGGTTACGGGGCAACGAAAAGGCTGACATGTTAGCGAAATATGCAGCTAAGAATGGAAAGGAAACTAATATTATTGTGGATTACTCAGAAGTTTTACCTAAACTCAAAAATATATGTTATGAAATGTGGAAGGAATACTTTAACGTGCACGGCACGTGTCAGCCTCTTCATGTGCCCTTGTGTTCATGAATACTAGTTTAAGTAGGAAATTAATTACTACTGCTCATAGACTCAGATCTGGACACGTTCCATGTAAGAAATTTGTATTTCTGATGAGAAAAACAACTTCGCCCAATTGTGAAGACAGTGGAGTTATAGAAGACCTACACCATATATTGATGGAATGTGTTCGATTTGAGTCTATTAGAAGTAATTTAATAATAATAGCAGCTTAACACTGCTGTGTTTCGTATGGTGAGTGTAGAGAACCGGAGACCCTTTTTACTGGAAAAGAGGCATTCCATCTTAGTCCTCACGGGTGACAACGCATCTGCATTTTGATTCGCAAACGAGGATAAATGTAGATGTCTATGGGCCACAGCAACCACTTACCATCACGTGGACTGTGTGCTTGTTTGTCACCCTATCCTATGAAAAATATCTTAAATATAAAATGAACACTACGCGTAGCTAACCTCAGAGAAATGTTCATAACTATTACTTTATTTTAAAACTTTTTTAAATAGAATTTTTAACTTAGCACTTAGCTAAGCAAATAGAGATAATACAAATAATAAACATTAAGAATTATCCCAGTCAATAGTGTACCTTTTTTATATAACAGGGTGACAAATGAACACACAGTCCAAGTGATGATGAGTGAATGCTGTGGCCCACAGACGCCTATATCTATTCTCGATTAAGAATAAAAATCCATATTCGTGGTCACGCTTGACAACTAAAATGGAATGTCTTGTTTTCAGTACAAAGGCTCTATGGTTCTTCACACTCACTGAAGACAGCAGCAGCAAGCAAGTAAAAAGGGTCTCCGGTTCTCTACACTCACCAAACGAAACACAGCAGCGGTAAGCTGCTATTTTACGCTGGTATTCTGTGAGAGCGTGGTTCTTCCCCGGTCGAGCCGACCCATTCGTGCTACAACCATAATATAGCTGCAGCATGGCTCTACCACGTATAAAGAGCTATATTATAGTTATGTAAATATATTTTTTTAAAGATTAAGAATGTTGTCTAATAAAAAATAAATTGTATTTAAAAGAATGGTCATGTAATCCGATCAGAGTAATAAAACAGGTAAGTCTCTAGGCAACGGTGAGCTACCGGTATTTAAAACCGAATAATAAGGACTATTAACTTAATGCGCCGTGAACACTCAAAAAACCATAAAAACTTATTTAAACCCAATCGAATGAGAAACACACAATTGTAGGGGATATTGTTTATGTGCAAACCTTTAAAAGAATTAATTCGTGTAAACATATACAAACAAATTTTAGTAAAAGGGTTATTTACTAATTGGTGCATTAGGCGAGCACAATCGCAGGAACCAGTCAATGGATGTGTGTAATTCGAATTAAGGGACTGTTTACAGGTCTGTTTCTTATGTTATAGAGCTTTTTTAAACGGGCAAAGCACAGATGTGTTTCACTCATGACCACACATTTGCGCAAGTCCGCTGTTTATATTCTTGTATTATTTATTTGTGTTTGACATAAGTGTAATAAAAATAAGAAAATATTGAGCATGATAACAAAATGTTATTTACGATTTATTATTGGAACTAAAAGTAAAGAATAGAATAGATTCACTTTTATTCAATTTCGACTGCAAGAATAGTTATTGAAAGTGATTTAAGATTTTTTTTTTTTAATTTAAAATTTCATGCTTTGTGCATGAAATTTTACTATCATCACATATTTTACTTATTTATCATGACACATGAGTCATGATAAATAAGTAAAATATGTGACGATAGAATCATTATTTAGAAAAATAGCGTTAATTCACACTTGCAATGCTTTACTAAAATGTTCACGAATTTTGTTTTTAAAAAGAAACTTGTTGGAAGCTTTTTTAATGTCAAGAGGTATTTCGTTCCAGAGTCTTATAGTCGTAAGAGCGAAAGAGTGGGACATATAACCAGTACGGTGTAAAGGCGTTAGCAACTTTAGATTATCCGAAGAACGGAAAAAATAATTATGAGTATCTCCTGGGTACTGAAATCTAGATTTCAAATACTCAGGAGCACAAGGATCGTTCAGGATAGTGAAAAGAGTGCAGAGTATTCTAACATATCTGCGCTGACGGTTAGGCAGCCAGTAGAGTACGAAAAGGTGATACATGGTCATATTTACGAAGACCATAAATGTATGTGATGCAGTTATTGAGGTGATGATCCAATGTGTTAAGATGCTGTTGAGATAAGTCTTTGCAACACACATCTACATAGTCTATTATATATACAGAATAAGAGATTGAACAAGCAAAACTTTTGTAGAGGTAGGAAGAAAATTTTAACACTGGTTTGGAGAAAAAAACCTCAGCCCTGGGAAGAACCAGTAATAAACCCAGCGGGACGTTTTTCTTAATTAATTTATAATATAATATTTTATACAATTAAGCATGAAAACATTTAGAAACAGTATGGTAGAGATTACCTGATTCCCAAGAGTTATTATCGATCATGTACTCTTTAGTAGTATAATAAACCTAATAAAACAATTTTTGTTTAATAAAAATTTTAAACTTTTTGATATATTTTCTGGGAAATTGTTGAAAAAGCGTATGCGTTGCCCCAAGAAAGAGTTTCTGACTTTTTGGAGTCGAGTGATTGGCATAAGTAGCTTGTGCCTCTTCGTAGTATTTACAGAATAAATATCAATATACAGGCATATTTTTCAAAGACTTGCCAAATTTTAAAATTAAATTCAAATATATAAATAAAATATACCGTTATTGCAGTTAAAAAAAACGTAAATATAAATAAAAAAAATAATTAAATATAAATATGGCTTCTACTTTTCTTTGATATTATCGCAAATTGAATATGTAAAAAAAAAAAATTATGCAAATTTATGGGCAACAACGTTTTTGCCAACAGATCGAACCTTACGAATGTGTGGGTGTGCAGTTAAATCAGTTAAAATAATGAATTACCACGTATTTTGAATTTAAAATATGAAAAGGACAGAATGATTGAGATTCTTTTTAATTAATTTTTCTTCTTATATTACTTATTTTAAACCTCCTTTGCAAATTTAGCCAATATTTGCAAAGTAACCCTGTATACAAGAATGTACGAAGAGGCTAAAGTTAATATTTATTTCTTTGAATTTTTCTCTAAGAGATTCCGTCGGATCTAGGTTATAAATTGCTCCCATTACTTTCTTTTGCAAAACAAAGATAGTTTCAATGTCAGTCACAATACCCCATAGCAAGATTCCATATGACATTATGCTATGGAAGTAACTAAAATAAACTAAACTAGTTGTTTCAACACATATAAGGCAATCTAATCTTTTCCAGCATATACTGCGGAACTAAGTTTGCTAGCTAGTATAAATATTTTTGGGCCCCATTTAAGCTTTGCGTCAACTTTAATTCCGAGAAAAACAGTGGATTAATATGGTA